GTCAGGCCTTTCATGGATATCAACAAAACATGGCATATCAAGTAGCAGTAGGACTAAGCAACCCCCCCCCCCCCTTGAATGTAGACTGGACAAGGCAATCCAGTATGAGGAATACATTCTTCAGATTCTTCAGAGCCAGCCAAAGGGATACTCGCTGTTCACACTGTTAGGAGTGCCACAAGATAAACAGCTGTCACATGTATGTAGAGCCATATGGGCTCCCTGGTTGTTGGTTCAGACTCTGTGTGTTCCTCTGAGCCAGGGTAGTTGATTTTCTTTTTTTTTTTTTTTTTTTTTTTTGATTCTTTTTTTGATATCCTTGACCCCCTTTGGCTCCTGCATTCCTTCCTGCCTCTCTTCAGCAAGATTCTCTTCGCTAATGTTTGGCTGTGGATCTCTGCCTCTATTTCCATCAGTCACTGGATGAAGACTTTCTGATGACAGTTGGGTTAGCCACCAATCTGATCACAGGAGATGGCCAGTTCAGCCTATGTATTGGCTATTGCTAGGAATCTTAGCTAAGGTCATCCTTTTAAATTCGTGGGAGTTTCCCTTGCACCAGGTTTCTACCTAACCCTGAAAACCACACCCTTTCCAATCATCTTTTTCAGTACTCTCCCTCTCCACCCACCCTCCATCCCTCAAGTTCCCATCTCCATCTGTCCCCAGTCCACCCAGGAGATCTCCTCTATTTCCCCTTTCCAAGGAGATCAATGTGACCCTGTTTGTTACCTAGCCTCTCTGGGGCTGTGGATTGTAGCATGATGATCCTTTACTTCACAGCTGATATCCACTTATGAGTGCGTACATGCCATGTTTGTCTTTCTGGGTCAAGGTTACCTCACACAGGATTTTTTTTTTCTAGTTCCACCCATTTGCCTTCAAATTTCAAGATGTCATTTTTTTTTAACAGCTGAGCAATACTTCATTGTGTAAATATATCACATTTTCTTTGTCCATTCTTCGATTGAGAAGCATCTAGGTTTTTCCAGGTTTTGGCTATGACAACTAAAGCTACTGTGAACATAGCTGAACAAGTGTCCATGTGTTATGGGTGATATAAAAGTGTCCTTTTGATATATGTCCAAGAATAGTTTAGCTGGGTCTTGGGTAGATAGGTTTCTAATTATCTGAGAAACCACCATTTCCAAAATGGCTGTACAGGTTTGCATTCCCACCAGCATTGGAGGAGTGTTCCACTTGCTCTACATCCTCTCCAACATAGGCTGTCCTTAGTGTTTTTGATCTTAGTCATTCTGACTGTGTAAGATGGTATCTCAGAATTGTTTTGATTTGTATTTCCATGATGGCTAAGGATGATAAACGTTTCTCTTTAAGAGTTTCTCTGCCATTTGAAATTCTTCTGTTGAGAATTCTCTGTTTAGGTCTGTACCTCGTTATTAAATTGGATTATTTGGTTTTTGGATGTCTAGTTATTTGAGTTCTTTATATATTTTGGAGATCAGCCCTCTATCAGATGTGGGGTTGGTAAAGATCTTTTCCCACTATGTAGGTTGCTGTTTTGTCTTATTGACTATGTTCTTTGCCTTACAGAAGCTTTTCAGTTTCAGGAATTCCCATTTATTAATCTTGGTGTTTGTGTTACTGGTTAGGAAGTTGTCTCCTGTGTTAATGTGTTCAAGGCTATTTCCTACTTTCTCTTCTATTAGGTTCAGTGTAACTGGATTTCTTTTTTTTTAAAATGGATCCAGCAAGTTTTATTTATAGATTTATACACCCATAATCTCTTTTTGAAAAATTATGTTTGATGTTTGTAGCTGAGTTTGTTGATACATTCTTATAATTTCATCATTGGGAGCAGATGCAGAAGCTGGCAGGTATCTGTGAGTTCTTATATACCATGCTATATATTCAGTGGTCCAGTCCTAACTGGATTTCTGTTGAGGTCTTTGATCTACTTGGACTTGAGTTTTGTGCAGATGATAGATATGGATGGACCTGTTTGCATTTTTCTACATGTGGACATTCAGTTATGCCAGCACCATATGTTGAAGTTGCCTTTTTTTCCTTGTCTGGTTGTGTATTTTTGTCTTTTTTGTCAAAAATCAGGTGTTCCTAGGTGTGTGGATTTATGTCTTGGTCTTTCTTCTGTTTGGTTCTCTTGATCCACTTGTCTGTTTTTATACCAGTACTATGCTGGTCTTGTTATTACAGCTTTGAAGTAGGGCTTGAGAGCAGGGGTGGTGAGACCTCCAGCAGTTCTTATATTGTACAGGATTTTTTGTTTTCTATCCTGGGTTTTTTGTTGTTGTTGTTGTTGTTTTTTCATTTAAAGTTTATTATTGTTTTTTTCAAAGTCTGTAAAGAAATATGAGAGAGAGAGAGCGCGAGCGAGCGCGAGCATGCCATTTGACTAGTTTGGTATTTCTGATTTGGGCTTTTTAAATGGAGGAAAATAGCTCTGTATTTGTATAAAATGTGTGTTTAATGAATGTCATCTAACTATTGCTTATTTGTGTTCTTATTTCAGGCTACAGACAAGAGAAAAGCTCTAGAAGAGACCAAAGCATATACAACCCAATCTCTAGCTAGTGTTGCTTATCAAATAAATGCATTGGCCAACAATGTACTCCAGTTGCTGGATATCCAGGCATCTCAGCTTCGGAGGATGGAGTCTTCCATCAATCATATCTCACAGGTATCAGCTTATAAAGTCTTTTAGGTTTATAGTTAGTCAAATGGTAGCACATGTCTTAATTATAAGGGTACCTACCTGCTAAGAAATGTGTTGCTAAGAGATTTTGCTGTGGTATGAACATCTTAGAGAGCACCTACATGCTCTCTCAATCTTCATGGTATGTAAGTCTACCTACTGTCCTCTCTGGACGGTTGATGTTGCTAAGAGTGGAAAATGCATGATTCACAAGGCTGTTGCTGGTGTAGAAAAAAGTTTTTAAAATAATTTAAAAAAGGGCTGGAGAGTTGGCTCAGTGGTTAAGAGCATTGCCTGCTCTTCCAAAGGTCCTGAGTTCAATTCCCGGCAACCACATGGTGGCTCACAACCATCTGTAATGAGGTCTGGTGCCCTCTTCTGGCCTGCACGCATACACACAGACAGAATATTGTATACATAATAAATAAATAAATATTAAAAAAAAAAATAATTTAAAAAATAGTGTTAGGGCTGGAGAGATGGATCAGCAATTAAGAATACTGGTTGTTTTTCTAGAGGACCTGGATTCAATTCCCAGCACCCACATGGCAGTTCAAAAGTGTCTGTAACTCCAGTTATGAAGGATTTGATACTCTCAAAACAGACATACATGCAGCAAAGCACCAGAACACTTTAGATAAAAAAGATATCATCTAAAAAATTACTCCTAAAAAGAAAAAAACATAGTAGCAATGTTTCTTAATACAGTGGTAACAAGTACTGTAATCTATAGACCAGTAAGAATTTATTATCATTATCAGGTATTATACAGCATAAAAGTGTGACGGGCAGTACAATAATAGGTATGTTCACACAGCCACTGCCATGAAACAGATGAGTAATATACTGTTCTTGGACACTGATGTAAAATCCTAGTAGACCTCAGATACTATGCAGTCTCAGACAAATGTAATGTAACAGTGATATAGACGACCTGGGAATATAAAATCCTTCTCTAGTATTTTACTGATTGATTGTAGGCATGATCACTCTTAGCTTTGTTTTGAGTTGAGTAAGCTTTAAGTTTTGAAATAGTCTCACTGTAGCCCTGGTGGTCCCTGAACTAAGGTGCAGCTGCCTTAACCTCTTTTAAAAAAAGTTATTATTATTTTTTTTTAATGTATGATTGAAGGCGTAAGTCACGAACAATGCCACACCAGTTTGGAGTTAGGATTATAATAGGGTGCTATTTATTTAAAGGGGAAAACTTACAGATCACCGTCCCAGACAGCAGCCATCTGCACAACCAGGAAGGGAGTCTAGTCTCCAGCGGAGCAGGAAGTGAAGAGAGAGAGCAGAGGAAGTAGCCCCTTTTTTAAAGGGAGAGAGACCACGCCCCAATGGGCTGGTATCACAGCAGCTATTGGTTGGAGGGGCGGAAGGACCTCCCGCAACATATGATAGTGGCTTACAAATATGTCTGTGTACCATGTGGGTGCCTGGTGCCCACAGAAACTAAAAGAGGCCATCAGATCCCCATAGGACTGAAGTTATAGGTGGTTATGAGCTGTCATATGCTTCCTGGGAATCAAACCTAGGTTCTCTGTAAGATGATCCAGTGCTCTTAATGGCTGAGCCTTCTCTCCTGTCTCCAGCCTTAGCCTTTTAAATGCTGGGTTCATAGATATGAACCACCATGTTTGCTTTTACTGTTTTTGTTTTTTAAAGTTTTCCTTTTATACAACCATAGCCTTTTGAATGCTGGGTTCATAGGTATGTACCACTATTCTTGCTTTATTTTATTTTTTGTAAGTCTTCTTTTTACATTTGTAGAAAAACAACACAAAACTGAACATTTAAGGTGTTTTGTTGTTTTGACTAGGGATAGAACCTAGGGCTTTGTGTATTCTACTTAGTCATGCATTCTACTACTGATCTGCACACCTTTTTTTTTTTTTTTTGTTATGGTAAGCTGCCCAGGCTGGCCTTAAATTTTCTTCCTCACCCCACCTTAGCCTCCTTAGCCTCCTGAGTAGCTGGGATTATAGTTATATCCCACCATGCCAGCCTGTTGACTTTTGTTGAGGTAAACTAAATTACATTTTAAAGCTTATAATAGCATCTTGTCAATTTTTACATATTCTCAAGAGGTCATTAGCATAAAGAAAGGAACATGGGCTTTTGTAAACTTTGCCTCCATCAGGTTTTTTGTCATTATAGAATAGTTCATATTTTCTAGAAATTTGTGTGAATGCATTCATGTACCTGTCCCCTACCATTTTCATCTTGATTTAGCCCTTTTTACATAGCACACTTACTTTGAAATTTACCCATACTGTTCCAATATAAGAGTCTGCTTTTATTGTTGAGCAGTTTCATTTGATTTCCCTCCCCTCCCTCCCCTCCTCTTCTTTCCCCTCCCCCTCTCCTTCTCTTCTTCCCTCCCTCCCTTTCTTTTTTCTTTCTCTCTCTCTCTCTCTCTTTTTTTTTTTTTGGTTTTTCAAAACAGGGTTTCTCTGTAGCTTTGTATCCTGTAGACCACACTAGTCTCAAACTCACAGAGATCTGCCTGTCTCTGCCTTCCAAGTGCTGGGATTAAAGATGTGCACTACCACTGCCCGGCTTGTTGAGCAATTTCTGTTTATCTGTTATCTGTTTGTGTATCTGTTGTTGGAAATATAGGTTGTGTTTATATTTTGCCAACTGCACATTAAACTTCTATAAACATTTATATATAGATCTTCCAATAGTCAAATGATTTTCATTTTTTAGAAATTATATTTTTATTTATTTTTGTGTGTGTGGATGCATATGTGTCTCAGCATAATTTGTTTGGAGTTAGAGGTGACTTAGCTCCCTTTCAGTATGTGGGTCCTGGAGTGTGGTCAGATTGTCATGCTTGGTAGCAAGTGCCTTCATGTTCTGAGTCATTCTCATTGGTCATGCTTTTGTTCCTTTAAAGAAGATATGTGTGTGGAATGAATAGTTTACATGGTAGATGTCTGTTTATAAGAAATTATCAGATTGTTTTTAGTGTTTACTGTCTAGTCTGTGAGAGATCTTATAAGGAACAAGATCATAGGTTTTATTACTTTTTATGCATTTGTAGAAAGGAACAAAGTTGTTTGTTTTATCTCCTAATAAAATGAATTACTTTGGTTTTGCGTTATTTTAAATGTTAGCAATCTTTATTGGGATTAAATTCCAGCTAACTTCCAGTTCTATACATTGTTAGATTTAATTTGATAGAATGTTACAGGAATTACTTTATGGTCTTGAGAATTATTGGTTATGTTTTGTAGTATCTTTGGCTTTGGTGTCATTCTTGTAATTCTGGTTTTTATATGAGTAGTTTTCCATTTGACCCTAGACTTTTCACTTGGAAGTTATGGGTACACACGTGTGTGTATGAGTGTGAGTGTGTGTATGTAGATGGAAGTTTCTGTCCTATTCAGTCCCAAAGAAATACACAGAGACTTATATTAATTATAAACTGTTTGGCCTATTAGCTCAGGGTTATTGTTAACTAGCTTTTACAACTTAACCCATAATTTTTATCTATCTTTAGCCACATGGCTTGGTACCTTTCATCGGTGAGGCATTCTCATCTTGATTCCCCTTCTTCTGGATGGTGACTGTGTCTCTGCCTTTTCTCTTCCCAGAATTCTAGTCTGTTCACCCTGCCTATACTTTCTGCCTGGCTACTGGAATCAGCGTTTTAATACGAATGACAAATCTTTACAGTAAAGAAGAGCATATCCCACAGTGTGCGTGCACATGTGTGTGTGTGTGTGTTTGAAATACTGATTACATTTGTTTGGCAGTCATACATGTTTGTAGTACATTTTGTTTACTCTCACCTCCCTCCACTCATGTCAAGCTGCTGTCAGCCTCACAGGTCTCCTTCCCACATTCATACTTTTTTTGTTCTGTAGTCCTCTGTTTTTTAAAAGGACTATCTATGTGACCGTGAGTTTAGAACTATCCATTGGGATCTTTATGACTGGTATTATTCTTTTGTTTTACGACGGACTCTCCCTAGCTGGCCTGGATTTCACTGTGTATCTTAAGTTAGTCTTAAACTCAGGGTGACCCTTCTATTGCAACCTCCTGAATGCTAGGGTTGATTTCTTTAAATAAGGAGATTAGGACATAAGCATGCACAGAGGCAAGACCGTAAAGATAGAACATAAAGAGGAAATGGCCATCTGTAAGACAAGAAGCCAGCCGTGGGGATATGGTGGTCCTAGATGACCAGCTGCTGGATTTCTAAGACATCCAACTTTGTGAGGGCAACCCCAACAAATTAGTTTTACTATCTTTAGGGCCCTCACATTTTGTCAACAATGATGGATTTTTTTAAAAGTAGAGTTCTGGTATATAATTCTGGCTGGCCCCAGACTTGCCATGCTTTTGCTTTACCTTCTCCAGTGCTGGGATTATAGGCCTGCACCATTGCCAAGCTAGATGAAAAGTTCTTACCAAAACTGATTCAGGCAGAAGGATATACTACAAATTGATAATTGTCATTGAAATGAGAATAGTGTGATTATCAGCAGGACCTAAAGGTCACACAAACATTTAGTAGAAGTCACTTGATGGACTAGTTTTCTTTTGATGTTATGGGTGCTTAACCTGCATGTATATGTCTGTGTGCCGTGTGCCAACCAGGAAAGGCCTTTGGAGCCTCTGGAACTGGAGTTTCAAGCTGTTGTGAACCACTCTGTAGGTTCTGGGAATTGAAACCTGGTTCTCTGGAAGAGCAGGCGGTGTACTTGTTCCTAAGCCACCTCTACGGCCCCAGATGCAGTTGGTATTTTAAAGGATGACTTTTCACAGTTGATAGTTTCATAACTGGGGTTTAGTCCACTTGGTTTGATTCCCCAGGGCTGCATAGATCAGACAAGTTAGTATAGACCTGTGAACGCTGGGGAAATGGAAGAAGGAGGATTTGGAGTTAGAGGTCATCCTTGACCACAACAAGATGAAAAATAGCCAGAGCTATTAGAGACTTTGTCTCAAAGGAGAAAAAACAAAGCGGGGTG